CAATTGAAATTTATCTTATGATAGCGATGTCGCCACATAAGCAAATGAATTCACGTTTGAATGGTTGAATGGATAAATACACGTTTTCGCCCTCTACTTGAAAATAATATTATTAAAAAAATCATTTATACTTGCTTTTTATATATTGGTGGTGGACATTTTTACTCACTGACCTTATCCCCAATCAACCCTATGTGTGGAAACAAATTTTCATCTAATATATTAAATGCCAACTATTTTCAAAATTAAATATTTTCAAATTAAAGTGCGACAACATATTTTTATTTATATAAAATTTATTTTTGAGAACTATAAATTAAAGGTTAAAAAATAAATTTTATGAACTTCCCGATACGTTTAAATAATCGACTTAAATATAAAAAATAAATTAATTAACAGTGATTAAAAGTATTCCGAGAGGATTCATTACATAATTTAAAACGAACGAGCACGTTAACTACGAGTATTTTTTGAAAGCAAATTTTCTAAAAAACAATTTTTATAATTGAACCAGTTTCCGTAGGACTTCAATGGTTTATTATTTTCATTAAGACCAAATATTCTATCGTTATACCAAGTAAATCGTCTAATTTTAATTTTAACAAACGTCAAAAAAACGACTCATTTTCTCAAACTTTGATAAATTTTTAAAATTAAACTACTTGTCATAAGGCCGTAATATTTCAGTAAGTGCTATAAGACCATGGTATATACCGCGAAAAAAAGTTCTTAACTATTATCTTTCGAACAATTTTTCAAATTAGACTTGTCGTAGGGTCGTAATAATTTAGTATGATCTACAAGACTATGGTATCTACCGTCAAAAAAATCATAAAAATCTTATAAAAAATTGTTTAACAAATTTATGATATATAAAAAATTGTTTATTGAAATTGTAATCATCTTTTTCCTGGCATTTGCGATTTTAGTCTATTTTGACAAAGTAAGCGATTTACGGATTTCGAATAATAAAAATATTTTGTTTTTGCATTTTACTTTTAACAAAATTCTTCAAAAGAATTATTTAGTACTTTATCAAGTCTAAACAACAGACAACAACCAAAATTTTTAATTGAATTAATCGACTTGAATCGTGTTGATTTTATAAACTCGTTGAAATTGTATTGCAATTTTTTTAGCAGCATAGAAACAAATATATATCAAATAAATGACATAATAAAATTGCAAAAAAAATATTAATATGAAATCGATATATTTTAATAAATATATTCCATTACTCAGTTACTGCAAATGGTTTTAAATTTCTTCGACCATTGCACTTTTGTACCACTACGTCTGATGTCTTCATAGAATTACCACCGGATCTCCATTTAAAAAGCGAGAAGATATTGTTACGTCGGTGAAACACAGCACACAGCAGTCTAGATGGTTTATCTTTTTATCTTTTTTGTCTTTTTTGTCTTTTTTGCAAGCAATGAAACTGACTGACTGCTCCAAACATGCCGCCAGATTCTCTACAGTGTTGAATGGAGAGATAAAAGTCAAAGGGTTTTATGTTTTTATGTTATAATATACGCGGATGAAATTTTAACACTTGACGACATCAAAAGGTAGGCCGCAGGAAAGAAAATATTGCAGAATATTTGCAGACGGTAAAATTTGTTTAGTCGAAATTTGGATGTCGAAGTAATAAAACACTACTAACTCGTAGCTCATGGAGCACTCCAATTCAGTCATAGTTGAAATAGCTCATGGAACAATCCAATTCAGTCATAGTTGAAATATTTGCACAAGTGCAATAGTATTCTATTCTTTAGAGAATGTGATCATCATCACCACAATTTCGTTGGATTCTAGATCGTCCATCATCAATTTCGGCTAACCCACGCGTGCGGTGCCATTAAAATTGATTGCGCCTCGCCTTCCAATTAATCTTTACGCGAACAGAATTAGCGTCTGTGATTTATTCGCAAGGCACCACTTGCAAAACGCATCTGACACACTACTAGACTATTTCCAGACGATTTCAAAGAGAAAAATAAAGTCTTAACTTCAAATTAGCCAAGCAAGAGCCAAAGAGTTCTGCGAAGAGAGATGAGAGCCTCATGCAAGATTGAAAACTCAATGGGTTGACTTTCTGAAAATGTTGCCGATTGTCTGAAATTGTTTTGAAGTTCCTGAAATTGTACTGAAATTTTGTTAATTATCTGAAAATATTTTGGATTGCCATAAAATGACTGAAAATGTTTTAGATTACCTGAAAGTGTTGTAGGTGGCCTGAGAAATATTTTATAATATCTGAGAAATGTTTTGAAGTTTCTGAAATTGCAGTACATTGCCTGCAAATGTTAATAATAATTAACAATGTTAATATAAATTATCTAAAAATATTCTAGATTACCTGAAATTGATTGACTGAAAATGTTCTAGTTGTCTGAAAATGTTGTAGGCAACTTAATTTGAATAAATTACAATAAACGTTGATTCTAGTTAAAATGAAAGTTAAATTATCTAAGTTCAGTATTTCCTAAACATTACCATTTTATAGTTACTTTGCATAAAAAACGAATCATATAAAATAAAACATAAAGTCTATGTGTAAATGATATTATGTCTTAATTTAAAGAAATTTGCAAAATTTGATTGGCTCAATCAATAAGGATTCAGTTTTACTAAGTTTTATTATTGTAACCATAATATTTAGAAATTTTAGCACGACTCATTTTACATAATTTTTTATAATTACACCATTTTCAATAGGACCACAATATTTAAGTGTGCCCATTAGGACCATAAACCATTATCATCATAGGATTCATCAAAATTAGTTCAATCCGAAACTAATTACATTTTTTACCAATCTCATATTTTTCAAACTGTTTTTGAATTTTTTAAATTGGTTCAGGATTTTTGGCTAAACCAAATTACCAAATTGTGCTCTAAATATTTTATAATTTTAGATAATTGTATAATAATAGTAAAACTTGGCCAATTGTCGAGAAACTAAGCAAAGTCAACGCGAATCCTTATAAAGTTTCATAATTAAACTAATAAAAAATTAAATTTTCTGATTGCTGAATAAAACAGAGTTAAAAAAAATAAAAAAATAAATTAAATTTTTCAAATCGGTTTGGCTTTTTTATGAGCAAACGTCGACAAAAAGTAAAATTTTAGCATGAAACGTCGGGAAAGCATAAATTTAGCTAAAGGCGAAGACATAAACTTGTTCAGGATGATGAAAATAAGAATCTTTTTTTTGTCAAATTAGGAAAACATCAGATCAACTTTGAATTTAATTAATTCAAAATACTATTTTTATATTAACACATCCAATAAACATATTTTTTATACGATGTGAGATTTTGTATTGTCAGTTGATAGTATTGACTTGACCCTCTAAATCTATTTGTTATGAAAAACATACTTGTTACCTATATTTTTAAAAGAACACGTATATCCCAAGTGCTTGATACCAGATCATATTGAACCATTAAACTGTTTTCCATAACCACGAATTATCAGTTTCTTGCAAACTATTTCAATTTAATAGAATTCAATGTGTTGTAAAACAATTGAAATATAGAACTTTCAGTTTTATTTCTAAGAATATTTATTAAATATTCTTAGAAATTCTTAATAAATATTCTTAATTCATATAATAATACTTCCATAGTAGATGCCTTGTAATTAATTATTTTTATATCGTTAATCTGTTAAATGATTTGTATATTACATTCCATGAGATCTTAATTTGTTTCGAAATACAAAACTCTTAAAGTTAGAGTTATTGGTACAGTTTTAAGATTTGCAACGATTGTCGTTGATGATATATTGGAGAACAATTCCAATATACCTAAAAAAGAATAAATTCAACGGATTTTGTAATTCCAATCATAAATGATTCATATCCATGTTTTCCGAAATTATTTCTTTCTGTACTGCACATTGTTAATACTAATCATACGACTATTCTTTATAACGAAATAATGTTGAACTTTATAAATGATGTTTTAATTTAACGTATGGAAATTTTAACTATGCATTAATAATGATTATACAGTTGGATTTCAAAATATTTACTAAGAAAATGATTATTTTATTGAATTAAAGTTTAAAATTATAGGAAAAACTGAGGATGACGAGAACATACAACCATAAAACATGTTTTCTCAGCTTTCAAACATATTATTTTTTTTTCAATTTTCTTCATAACCATTTAAAAATAATTAGCGATTATTTCAGGTAGTCAAGAAGTTCCTTCTCATAATTTTTGTTGATTTTCGTAAAATTTAAAATAGAAGTTCAAAATTATTAATGTTAGAGGCTATTACAAGTTACAACCTGTCTTTTTTATAAAAGCATACTAGTTGTAAATAACATTGATGGGTAGTTGTAATATTATTATCAAGTCAGAACAAACATTCAATTAAACATTTAGAGTCACAAGTCAGAGCAAACATTTAGACTTATATTTTTCAAAAATCCGGGGCAAAAAATCTGAATTCGGGACAAATATTACTTTTAGAAAAACCCGAGGTTGAAATCCGGGACTGTCCCGTCCAAGCCGGGACGTATGGTCACTTTAGTTTAAACAAAAGGAGTTTATAAAGGGTATAATTCTAGCTAAGGGCCTCACAATAATTTGTGATGAGCTTTCTGAGCTCTTAAAGTTTGTGGATAAAAATCACTCCGAGAAAGTTGCAACATTTTGAGCATGGAAGTTGCTCAAAAATGTCTAACTTATCTCCGTATATTCATAATTGCGCAAAGAAAAATAATAATAAAATTAATAAATAGTAAATTTGTTTTTAATATTCAAAAAACTTAACAAGAACTACAATGCTGGAACGCATTAACGGCATATCAATGCATTTATATGGGAAAAATTGCTTCGAGGTACGAGCGATTCGATATACAAGCGTGGTTACGGAACAAATTAAGCTGTATTAATATTACTACCAATAGTTTCAATTATTTAGTTTCCTATAAACTTATAAATTTGTTAGGTAATTTTTTAATTTTTTTCTTATCTCTTTCAGCCAGCCGCGAAAGCGCCTTCGTGCACGCTATAGCTGCTGCAGGAGTGGCGGTGCAGGTGTCGAGAGCGTGCCGAGACGGCCGACTGGCCTCCTGCGGCTGCTCGAGGGCGCCCAGGCCCAGGGACCTCCAAAAGGAATGGGTCTGGGGCGGATGCGGCGACAACTTGGAATACGGAGCCAAGTAAGTGAATAAGTGATCATTGATGTCGATGTTGGAAATTGTTGAAAATTGATGTCTCTATTTAGTTCAATCGTAATGTTGTCAAATTATAACTGAACCTAATTTTTATTGTCTGCCTGAAAGATTAAACATGATGAAAGAGAAAAAAGCCTAAAGAATCTTCCAAAATGTAGTTGTAAATCATTTTAAAAACTTCTGCGAGTACCTGTGTGTTACATAATGAATAATAATAATAAATAGTAGTCTTCCCGAAGGTAGGTCCATGGTATGAGAGCACCACAAAATTAATGATTTTCTTCCTCTCCCTTTTTTATTGTTTCCATTACTGTTTTATTTCCATTAATTAACTCTTTATATTCGTTTTTATGAATTTTCATTTCCAAACTTCTGCTTCCATACTTTCTGGTCCTATTCTTCGTCAACCATCAATCATCTGCATTCTTCTTGTTTTTAATCCTTTAAATCCTTGTATTTTGTCTTCGACTACGTCATGTCGGAGGCACTATTTTTGCAGAATGGGTCCAATCCAGTTTCATTTTCCTTTTAGGATTGTGCATAGTAGAGTCCTTTCTTCGCCCACTCTTCTTAGGTCTTCTTTATTTGTTATCTTGTCAGTTTACTTTATTTTCTTCATTCGCCTCCAGCATCAGTAATCGTTCTGAATGAATATTTTATGTAAATTTTATTTAATATTATATGTTATTTTAATTTTGTCAATTTTAATTGGTCCATTAGTCTTAAATTTCATTTAAACCACCTGCCTACTTGATTTATTTCCTAACATTCTTTAGTACTTGACACATTGGAGAAATGATTTTATCTTTTACGAAATGAACCTCGAATAGATAGATTTATCTATTTGCATCATTAAGAGTAAGATGTGATCTTAATAGGGCATTCAAGGAAATATATAATATGTACATCTCTGGTAAAAATTCAGTGCTTACCCAACAGCGTTCCTTGCAAATGAAAAATGACAAACCGTTTCTTGTATCAGGAAATAGTATCGATAGAGGAGGTGCGGTGTAATTAAAATAACTTAGATACTGATTGCACTGCGTGACACTAAAATTTTTGAAATTAAATAAAATGGTTTTTGAATAAACCAAGGATGCTGATTCCAACAAAAATAACTAGTTTTTGAGATCTGCTAATATGCTAATTTGATCTCAAATTTTTTTAAATGGTTTTCAAGTGTGGACGAGGAGTGACTGATCTCTTTGGTGGATTCTGATGTCTTGCTCTTAGCAAACATCTCCAAGACTTTTCAAAAACCGTACTAAATGAAAGTGCTGGTGATCAGTTTTGAAGCTCATGTTACACCCTAGATTTTTTTAAATTGGATATTATGCATTTGGCAATCTTACGAGTGTTACTGATTTTTTTGTTTCCCAGAAAGTTTATTACGAATGGCTACATGATTTTCTGATTGACTTTATTCATAGAATTCTATGGGGGGTCTATTTGGGGTATGAGTATTTGCTTCTATTGTCCAAATTTATTCCATTGATATTTACCACCAACAATCATCGTGGTGGTTCGAAAGTTTTTTATTTTCAAATATGGGACGTTTTAAAATTATAGGCACATAGTATGAAAAAATCATATTTTTTAACTTTCCGTAGGGCAAATTATGGTAACCACATAAAAATCGAAAATGAAATTTTTTATAAATCTTTACGTTTAAGAGGTTTCTGAACATTTTGGCATACCTTAGAAAAAATGGATGTGTGTATGTGTGTGCGGATACAAATTTTCGTCGACGATTTCGGAAACACAGATCAACCGATTTGAATAATTCAGAGAACATTCGATTCATATTGATAAGGAGACGTGCTGATTAGTTTTTGGCAAAGGCAGATCTAGCCGTTCCGAAGATACGGGGCAAAAAGTTCCAAAAACGGTAACTCAGATTTTAAGAGAACGGAGCGTCCGATTTTAATAATTCAAAAAACACTTTACTTGTATTGATTAGATGAAGAATTGATTGAATTTTTGGGAAGGCAGGTCCAGCGGTTATGGTCTTTCAATAAAAATAAGTTGAAAAATGTCATTTGGCGGTCAAAAATGTTTATTTATTGGACTTATGCACATCAAATTATCAGATATTTTGATAATGTGTACACATTTTGTGTAATTTTATTTGGGTTCCGTACCAAGATTTTTAATTACGGTACGGAAAGTTTCAGCAATCTGCCTTAAGGCACGATGCCATGCACCCCACAAGTTTTATCTTGGTTGCACAACTCTATTTTAATGTGGTTGAACGCTGCCTTTGAGCAGTTCGATATAGATTTTCAGTATTTTTCAAAAACTTATTCACTACAAATCTAACAAAAAGTCTCTGGTTTATGTGCACATTGTCATAGAATCGAATCAAATCAAAAACAGCATATAAAACTCTTACTTATTCGTTAAATTGCGATAACCATAGCCAAAATGATTAATGGGTCTAGTTTCCTAAGGTATACCAAAATGTTTAGGAGATTCATTTACCTCATGGGCCGTCCTCCTCCGGTGTCCCCTACACAACCGGCATTCCCATGCAATATAGAATTGTCATGTTCATGTTATCTATTCTTTCGTTTATTCCAACAGCCTTCCATTACCATCGCCGTGAGTAATAAATTCACAATTCATTTGAGTCGCAATCAGCAATCGGTCTATGTCCATGCCAAAGAAAAGAACTAACCGAGAAGTAAGAGAAGTACGAGTACGAGTACGAGTGCGTTCTAATGACTCCAACATTCACAATAAATAACTGACATGGATAGAAATGACAAAACTGATTCCGACGATAGAAAACTATGTAGTATGGGATAGATAGGTAGTTGAGAGGCAGAGGTTTTAAAACTTGGATTGATTGATTGAAAAAGTTGCTTGAAGTTCTAGAAAATTTGGAACAAAAAAGCTAAAATTTAGAAAATACAAAATAGCCCTTCTCTGGTTTCGCGGCATATGATAAAATAATAGCATTTCGACCAATGATATCAACTCATTTCGAGTGACCAGTATTTGTGGCGTAAGGCATTTCCGTTGCGTTTTTGGTGACCCTAGTCGCGTCTAAAAAAATTTCTATGAACTGATATTCCGTGTCTTTGGCATTGGTTCTCTAAACAAATATCTTTATGCTAATTTCAATGGAATAGAATGCAACTAGTTGAATAATTATCAAATACTAGCTGACCCGGCAAACGTTGTTTTGTTAAGTAATGTATATTCTAAATAATTTCTAGAGATTCAAAAAAAATTAATACTTTAAGTATATAAGGATGTGTTGTTTGAATGCTATATACAATGAGGTATTATAAAAACAATAAACCTCATTAGTTTGTCTACATTTTATCAATACTATCAAACTAGAAGTTCTATACACTTTCTATACAAAACATGGTATAATCCAAACCAAGTCTTTTTTGGTCTTTCGACTTATTGATTACGTTTCAAGTTTATCAGATTCTTTTTGGATTCTGGATTTTGTGTATAATTGTAAATAATATTACAGAGCTTATAAAAATTTTCAAATTTCTGCGAGGAGAGATAGAACATGAATTAAGTATTTCTCCTTTGACCTGCTTTTTGAATAATTTCAAGTAACATTCGATGAATTAAAGTAAATTTAATAAAAAGTATATATGTAGAATAGGGTGAGGCACAAAGGTCCAATTTGACTTTGAGCAAATATAAACTATATTGAGAAAACCATAACAATTATATCACAACAAATAATACATTTCAAATGAACAATTATCTGACTACGTTCAGTAAAACTGCCAGCTACTTCATCATTGTAGAAATGTGCTTTTTTGATGTCTTTCAAAAATTTGTTATCTAGACCTTTTTACCCTATAGGCGGAGTCACTTGGAACGGTCAAGTGACAAACAGGTTTAATGCCTTATTTTAATTTCAAAGGTATTTTACAAAATAATTACATTTTTAACTAATGCTAAAGAACTACCAACGGAAGAAAATACTTTTATTATGGGTTTTCAAAGATTACCGCTTATCTCCCGATAGCAAAGTCATAAGAATCAAGGTTATAACTGGTTATACATCTTTTTCCCTCTACTTTCAAATATTGTTGTTAAACAATGCTTAACTTTACTGGTTTTAGACACATCGGTGCCGGACCTTTGTAACCCCGGACTTTCATATATTACTATCTATTCTTCGATAAATTCTGTAAAATTATAATTGGGAAAATGTTATTCGACAAAATGTCCCTTTGATCGATACCCAATTTAGGTTCTGAATTTAAATAACTTAAATGAAAAATAATATAACCAAGAAAATGTTTTATAAATACCAATGAGTATATAATTATACAAATGAGATCTTTCAGAGCACCGTGTTTAAGAAAAATATGCCAAAAAGTGCTTTTCATATTAACATTTCAAAAAAATTCATATTTTGTTTTAGTTTCTAGTAACACTTGCGGCCCGTTTACTAACGTTTTTGTATATAATTATAACTACGAACACAACTACTTACTACAATTTAATCATAATTAAATAATATTCACGTAAAACATCCTATTAAACGTAATTGAACATCATATGTCAAAAACGTTTGACATTTGACGTATTAGCCACCGTTCATTGTTTTATTCAAATTATGCTTCTACAAACAAAATTAAATTAAATATGTAAAGTTTCTACGTGATTTTGAAATATTATCTCACCTTTTGGACAAACTCTGGATTTGCACAAATTTTTCAAGACTAAGACTGGCCAAATTTAGCCGTTTCGAGTTTTAGCGGATAACTTTATCGAGAGCTCAATTTTTATATATAAAAGTACTCTAAAACGAATATTATGAGAATTGACATAGTCATTTATATTTTGTCTTTCGGTTGCCAAGCTCTGTCTCCATCTATATATTCTCTAAGCAGGGTGTTGTTTCAAATCTCCCATATCGAATTAGCGTATAATTTTCGCCTTTACATCATAGAAATTATGATAATTCGGTTCTAATCCGTCGGTGGCAGATAGCATTTATG